ACAGACCCTAGGGAAAGGGTTTATTATTTAGGGCCCACTCAGTGGAGTGTCGGTAACAAAAGATGATGATCCATGATGAGTGCGGACTGAGAGCGGACGCTGGCATGCATGTTGCCGCTGCTCTCCGGCCGTTCGAGCTCATTCCCCTCCTTCTTAGTGTTTTCTCGGCTTTCACACCATCACTACCGACTTGCTTTCATGGAATTGTGCTACACCTAATCGGTTCCATTGTCCTAATATATCCTGCTGTAACTCCAGCACTTTTGTTTGCAAGTGCTCGGGCTAACGTGAACTAATCTTTCGCCGTGAACTAATCTTTTGCTGTGAACTAATCACTCTAAACGGATCATTCTCTGTGAACTAATCTTTCGCCTCGTTCTCGCAGATTCGTTTCATTTGTCACGTGAAAGAGCTCGGGTCTTTTTTGCGCTCATTCATCTTCACATTGTGGTGTGTTTTTATTTCTTAGCTTTTCACATGGTTTTAATTCCTTATGGCATTTTGTGTACTTTGTAGACTTTGTCAGCGGAAGCAAACCATGTTGCCTTATTTAGTGTCGGAGAACCGCAGCCTTCTTTACAACGCCCACAATAGGGCTAAAGCGCCACCTGCTGTAAAACGAATGAAATGATTAGTTCAAGATTCGTTCACGACTCATTCATTTTACTGTTTGAGAGTCAAAGATTCGAATCAATAAAAAGAGTCGGTCTTCCCATCACTACTATTCGTAATGTCGTTCGCGAGTGATTCGTTCAATATAAACGAATCTTTCATATGACTCGTGACTCCGAGTCATATGAAAGATTCGTGACTCTGCGAACTAATCACTCATTACAAACGAATCACTCTCTGCGAACTAATCTTTCACTGGGAACTAATCTTTCGCTCAAGGACTCAAGGTTCTTTATTGTCATGTTAGACATGGGATGAACGAAATTAGTTTCCCTGCTCCCGGCTCGAGTACAAGTGACAGAGGGGAAGAGTTCGGTGTAGTGCAGCAAGAAGAGAAAGAGAAAGTGGCGATTGTGCACGAGTGAAAGACAGAAACAAGAACAAGAACAACAGCGCTGGTCAGGGCAACAAGAGCCGTTGTGGGGTAGTCGATGTGATGTTATGAGTATAATAACATGAGAACTACATTACCCAGCATGCCACAGCAGTTAGGAGCTATTTCAGGATCAATCCGCACATCACTATCCGGGGGTTGTACCTGGACATGTGGATACCAGGAGAATGTTGACATGTGCTTGAGCTAAATAAATATGAAAGACCAGCTATCACGCCTCGTCTGTTAGTTATAAGTGAAGCAAGACAACACAGTCGAGGGGGGGAGGGGTATTTGGCAGAGTCAATGTGAGGGGGGACCGGGGGAGTTACAGGGGTCCACCGGAGTTCAACAGTCCCACAGCTTCAGGGAAGAATCTGTTCCTCAGTCTGGTGTCCTGCTTTTGGTTCTCAGTTGCCGTCTTCCTGAGGGGAGGCGGGCAAACAGAGCATTTGCGGGGTGGGTGGCGTCGTACATGATGCAGGAGGCCCGGTTCCTGCATCAAGCGCCCCCCGCTGTAAAACGAATGAAATTATTTGTTCAAGATTCGTTCACCACTCGTTCATTTTACTATTTGAGAGTCAAAGATCCGAATCAGTAAAAAGAGTCGGTCTTCCCATCACTAATCACAATCGTTTATGCCTTGATGTGAGAACAGTAAAATACGCCACCTGTTGGTGCAATGCAGGGATTATAAAGTTCGCATTAAGATGATTTAAAGCTGCGTGAACACGTGGTCAACACTAAAATAGCATTGCAACCATTCATTAATGGTTGTACTTTTTATTAGTTATGAACTAATTATCCAATTACAAACAGTGTGTAATGAATTATTTCATCAGACAATTTACAACTAATAATTATCTTGACTTTGAAGGAAAAACACATATTTGATACAGGAAGAAACAAAGTCGTGTGAAATACGTTAAGGCATCGATGTCGTTAGAGGTCGAAATAAACTGTCAAATAACTGGAACCACCAGGTGTCAGCAACAGAAACAATATCATGGAATAAAGGAGGGAATGTTGTCAATGTTGCCATCACTAATGAAGTTTCCAGAAACACCGACGCTGCATCAAAACACTATCTCTATGTTTGACGGTAATATTTACAAGACAATATATTCACTGTAGTATTTTGTCACGTGACTTTCACTTTGGCAGAATTATATTCTTCACATGTGTCTGAACCTGGAGGTCCAATATTAAAGAAAGTGAAGATAAATGAAGAGAGTTTCACTGATGAAGATGAAGATGATGATGATGCACTATATTTACTGTTTAAGATAAAAAAACAAGAGCAGCAACCATGTAACAGTGGATTCTAATTATCTGTAACCTTTTTCATGTTGTACTTCACTGTTGTGCTGTAGGGACAGTGTCATTCACACAGTCAAAAAGAACTCATACACACTAGTTCACAGAGGGATGAGCCCACTGCTCAAGATACAGACAAACATTTGCTGTGAGACCCTAACATGGCAGAACACCCCGAGAATATGACATTTATTTGATTTATTTATATTAAAATGAAATTTAAATCATTTTAAAAACCAGTCAAAACACTAAAGTATTGACTCAGTGTCAGTTTCAGCCAATCAGGAGTAAACAAACAATCATTATGCTCCGACAGCTGAAAAGACTGTCCACACAGTCTTCTCATTGTAGAGACCAAATGATGAAGATGATGAAGGTGTGGAGCTAGCTTTAAAACAAACTCCTCACTAAAACATTCGTCCAGTCTTCAATGTTATTACAAATATAGAGGGAATGTATACAGACTATAAAACACCGGACTGTTCATTACAGACCAACAGGAAGTCAGTTTGTACGTGACACACCAACAGGAAGTCTGTTTTTCTGGTTGAAGCAGCAGCGAACCACTAACAACCTTCATATACATTTAAACACACACACTCACACTCACACACACTTCCACCTAGTGGACACTACACAAAGCTAGTTTTTACCACCAGAGGCACAATACAGGGTGAATCTGTGGTCTGTGAATAAATGAAGCTTCAAATACAGTTTATAACCTCCAGTCAGTGAACATTAAAGCTCCTGCAGTTCTGACAACAGTTCTGACAACAGTTCTGACAACAGTTCTGGACGTCTTCATTTCACTGTGTGTGTGTGCATGTGTTCCTGTCACCTGGTCCACATCTGTAAAACGTGTCTGGATCATAAGGCACAGTGTAACTGTTGATGTTGGTCAGTATTAGTACATGTGTAATGGTTAGCAGCTCAGGCTAATGGTTAGCAGCTCAGGCTAATGGTTAGCAGCTCAGGCTAATCATCACTACATCAAACACTGTATTAACAGAACTGATTCTCTAGAAATCCATTGAAAACTGAGTTTGGTATTACAGTAAGTCTCTGTGTCTGACAACATCCACAGATACTGAACAAACCGACTCCTGCCAAGTCCAGTAAAGTCTAGACCAGGGGTCGAGAACCTTTTCAGTAGAGAGACAAAAAAAGTCACATATTTTAAAATATATTTCTGTCAGAGCCATACAATATATATTTTCCTCTGAATACTAAACGTAAAATGGACCGTTTTATTTAATATATATTTTCCTCTGAATACTAAACTAAATGTAAAATGGACCAATACTTGACAATACTATTAACAATGACAACAATAATCATTTTAACAACAATTATTATTATTATGGTTGTCATAATATCATTGTTTACAAACCCACACAGAGTACTATAGTGATTTACTTTACTTGAGTGACCTGAAAGGCGCTTTTTAAATCAAATGTATTATTATTATTATTATTATTAAAGGGGCATTTAGAAAGCACTAGAAATTTGAGAATCTGACAATTACAGCAGTAGGTATCGCTAGCATATATTGAACATAGATATGTGTTCGCACGTATGTTTGACGAGCGGCTCCGTCACGAGCACATGGCGACACGTCCAGACACTCGACAGCGGACCAAGTGAAAGTCTAGTGCGGACAATGTGCAACGCTTTAATATAATTAACTGCACAAACGCTCTTTTCATATAACACAAACATTACTCAGGATGGGTGAACACTCCGGGAGCTGACGCTGCATTCACTGCACACAGTCAAAACACATCAGCTCCCCTGGAAAATCCCCATCATCAGGATTTCAGTGTTCATATACTTAAATGTCACGGGCTGCAACAGTCACGTGACCATCTTAAATGTGCAAATATTTCATGTCATCTCATTCATCTGTTGTCAGCTGTTTTCAATGGACCCAGAGAAATATATCTGAACATGGGCAATATTTAATGACTGAAACCTGTTGTTGTGTTCATATATATATACACTGTTATATATGTTATATATATATATATATTACCCCCAGCTGGTGGGTGGGACAAGGAGTATAAATGGGCTGTTGAGAGCCTGAGAAGGGGAGTGTTGAGTTGGCTGGTGCAGAGACAACATGAATGTATTGACACAGATTTGTTTTGAGATTGTTTTGTTGAACATTTTTGCAATATTGAAGGATTCAGCAGTTCTTTGTTTTTGAAATTATTGTAAATAGTATTTTCTTGATCAGTAGTATATTTTCCCACCTGTTTTCTTTTCCTCGTCACTGTGCACCTTGACAGGAAGTGAAATAAAATCACACTACACACGAGTTTACTGAGACTTTTCTTCAACTGAGGCTTTCCTTCAACTGAGACTTTTCTTCCAACTGAGACTTTTCTTCAACTGAGGCTTTCCTTCAACTGAGACTTTTCTTCCAACTGAGACTTTTCTTCAATGCAAATGTTCTTTTGAATAGATTACAGTATTCGACTGAGACTTTTCTTCAACTGAGGCTTTCCTTCAACTGAGACTTTTCTTCCAACTGAGACTTTTCTTCAACTAAGACTTTCCTTCGACTGAGACGTTCGAGTTGGCTGGTGCAGAGACAACATGAATGTATTGACACAGATTTGTTTTGAGATTGTTTTGTTGAACATTTTTGCAATATTGAAGGATTCAGCAGTTCTTTGTTTTTGAAATTATTGTAAATAGTATTTTCTTGATCAGTAGTATATTTTCCCACCTGTTTTCTTTTCCTCGTCACTGTGCACCTTGACAGGAAGTGAAATAAAATCACACTACACACGAGTTTGTGACACGACATTATTTTGGTTATAATTTAACCTGTGAAGAAACGAACCCTGTTACAGTATGTCTGCTGTGGTCATCAAAACTGGATCAGGAGACGGTCTGGACCAAAGTGTCTTACCGTGTGTCTGTAGGTCCTGGTTCAGGACTGAAGTTTAGAGGGTGACCCATGGACCAGTCAGTCTTCACAGACAGACAGCTGGGTCCTGGAGACTCTGCTCTCAGTCTCTTGCTCCCACGTCTACAAACACAAACTTGTTTATATTAGTGCTGGTCAACATTAACAGCTGTAAAGGAGAATAACTCCATGACCCTCTGTGATTTATCACATAGTTATGAACAACATTCAACAATGAGTTACAGAGAGACAATTACCCCTTGATAAAAGAGGTGGGAGGGGCCTCTGCTTGATGACATCATTATATACTTGACAATACTATTAACAATGACAACAATAATCATTTTAACAACAATTATTATTATTACGGTTGTCATAACATCATTGTTTACAAACCCACACAGAGTACTATAGTGATTTACTTTAGGTTTGGTTTCAATAAATATACAATGAACAGGAAGACAGTGTTATACAGGTGGAAAAGCTCTGTGGGAAATGGACTGATGTGCAGTGTGTGTGGGAGTTCAACCCAATCCACAGTGAGGAAACTAAGATGGAAACTGATTACAGTCAGTTTTATTTTTTTAATTTAGGAAAAACTAGTGAATAAAATGACATTTTCTCCATCGTTGTCACATTTCAACTGTGTATTAAATCCACACAGATGTTGTTTCACACACGTCTCAGCAGTGACACAAACATTAAAGTATCATTAAATGTATATGTTAGGGCTGTGAACATTGACGTGTTAACATGGATTAACCCGTCATCATGATTAATCTGATTTTATTTTAAAAATCCCAATTGAAGCATTAGCTCCACAGAATGAGTCAAAATCCCTGAAACGTCTCTGACAACACATTTCAGTCAGTTTATCCAAGTAGAGTTACCGTCACACACATGTCCACTTTAACACACGGGCTGACCTGGGCTGAGCCTGTCAGAAGACGTGTCTGTGGTGCAGTGAGTTAGCGTGTTGGTCTGTAAACCTAGAGACTGTTAGTTGGAGCCCAGCAGGGACAACATTCAGGCTGCTGTCGCCCGCCTCAAATTAAAGGAATATTTTCTATCATCTTGAGCTGATACTTAGGAAAAGATCTTGCGCCTATGTTTGACCAGCGGCTCCGTCCGTCACATGGCTGCACGTCCAGACACTCGACAGAGGACCAAGTGCAAGTCGAGCGCGGACATTGTGCGAAGCCTAAATATAATTAACTGCACAAACGCTCTTTTCATATAACACAAACACTTCGATCAAACATTAGTCAGAATTCGGGATCAGTCCAAAGGGTGAACACTCTGTTACTTTATCATTTAAGTTGCGCCGGGAGCTGACGCTGCACGCAGTCAAAACACATCAGCTCCCCTGGAAAAACCCCATCATCAGGATTTCAGTGTTCATTTACTTAAATCTCACAGGCTGCAACAGTCACATGATCATCTTAAATTTGCCAATATTTCACATCATCTCAATCATCTGTTGTCAGCTGTTTTCAATGGACCCC